TCGCACCATCGCCAGAGCCTGTTTGCTGGCAAGTGGAGTCCGTGACCAGCACAAATTCAGGACATGTTTGTACCCCAGGTATGAGCTTCCTGTGCTTCAGGGAATTCTGAAATGGGGTGGTGAGCTGTGGATCAGTCTGTAGGCATTGATCTATTGGATAGTTGGGACTGATATTTCTCAGTTTCTCTGCTTGCCTTCCAGTCAAGTATTCTAGAGTTTAGAGGCATTCCTGGCCATGTCCCAGCTTCCTGGGCAAGTGCCTTGTCACCCCTTCATGGTAATTCTCTTTGGTGCATGTCTTGCATGCTAAACATTACCATGGCAGCAAAGCCAAGTAAAAAAACCTCCCAGTACCAGGCTATCATCAAGCAGTGTGGTTTGTGCATCCTTTAAAGTAGAAGTTTTCTTTTAATTGAAATCCTACATGGGGCAGTATGATAACACTTTGGATTACAGTATTGGAATATTTAGCAGAAGGAGATGATTTTTCACAAACCCTGACTCAATCTGAGTAATCGTAAAAACCAGCATTATAGCGGTTAATGTGTTCTATCCCTCCTCTGCCCTCTCCCAAGAGAAGTAGGAGTTGGTGTTTTAATTGAAAAAAATGTAAAACCTGGTATTTCAGGCGAGCATAATCTAGATATTCATGTTTGGGGTATCTTGTTTTTCCTTATTTGTGAGAGGCAGATTATCCTGTGTCTGATTACTGTCTGAAAGGATTGGCTGCCCATGGAGGTGGGTCACTGACCTTGATGGAAAGCTGTGCCTCATCTGTTGTGGCAGCTCTTGCGTTCCTGTGCACAGTTGAAAACATACAGTTCAATTTTACATCCCTTAGTACTTTGTTTTACTGCTGCTTGTTTCTCAGGATAGCGTTAGGAAACTGGCATTTTATTTCACTGTGTATAAGTGGCCATGTCCATTCCAGAAATCTGCTAGAGATGGATTTGACAATACTGAACCTGAAAAAATGTGTGTGAGCATTTGTCATTATTATCAGACTGAGAAAGGCTCTGGTGTTTTCATTTATACAGCTTCTTAAAAAAAGAATTTTGACTGCATATGAAGTAGCATTATTAGTAAGGAGTATCTTTTAACAAATTTTCAGTTTTTAATGTGAAATGTTGTCATCTCCTGGTTATTGTTGTGGATGTATTACTTTGTAATGTGACAGTGCCTAGGGAGGGGCTGGATCCTCCTTATGAGATGTATTTAACTAACTCTCTGAGCAAGTTGAGATTGTAAAGACCACAAGCTGAGACACTTGGGAATAATGTGGAAATGATGCTAACTAGTGTGGGAGACAGCAGCATGAGCACACCACGGAGGGTTTTATGGCAGGATTTGAAGAGAGTAATGAGGAAATTTTGGCAAATGCTAGCATATATTCTTCTTAAATTGTTGAGGAGTTCCTCTCAAGAGGCAGTGCTGTGGTGGAGGAAATTAAGACTAAAAACTAAAGCTAAGGAGCTTTATTTGTTGCATTACAGAGTGGAGGGAGAGAGAGAGAGAATGCAAAGATGAGATGATTGTATCTGAAACAAGTGGGAGGATGATGTTTGTAGTGGCCTTCTAACTAGGCGTAGGTGGGTCAGTGCTACACTGCCAGTTGTCGTGCTTGGTCAGATTGGGTTTCTGCTGTCCAGTAAGATATTTTTAATTATTACTGGTTTCCAGTTGTCATTATACAATCTTGAGGCAATTTCTTCTGGGTCTAGGCTTTGATTTTTGCAAGGCTTGAAAAAAGGCCTTTTGAGCCAGCCATATGTGTAACAATGAACTCTTCCCTCTTCTTTGACACCTGAAATCCTAGATAACTTTCTAACATGTTTTTTTCTTACTGTTTTCTGTTTAGCCTCCAGTTCCAAGCCTGAACTCAGCTCCAGTTCACAGACTTTGGGAAGTCAGCAGAACAAGACAGATGGCACCCGAGTAAAAACTCGCGTTCTGCCCAACATGCCAAAGCTTTTCATACCTTCATCTGTCACCAAATTTCCACCTGAGATCACTGTCACTCCACCCACTCCCACCCTCCTTTCTCCAAAGGGCAGCATTTCAGAAGAGACCAAGCAAAAATTAAAGGTAATAAAAGGGAAACAGTAATTTTTTAGATTATTGCTTTTATCTTAATTCTCCCCTCAATAAAATACTTGTACGAAAGAAGCAACAGTTCATAACCAGAGGCAGTATAAGCAGTGGAAGAAGGTGGTACCTGTTAGCAGCAGGAGCCAGTTTTTTAAGGACTGGTGCAATATTGGCCATGGCTGTAATCAGAGCTATTCTAGTCCTTATCCCTTTTCTGAGGGAATTGGAAAGAATTACAAAAATGGCTGAGTGAGCCAGCGCAATTCTTAGGTTAGTGGAAGCTACCAGAACATGAGCTGTGGGGAAGCCCTCTGGGAGATGTCATAGTGTTTCACATTAGGATATCATATCTTTTATAAAAGTAAGAGAGCTACTGAATGTGAAGGAATAACAACCAGTGGGCTTTTATCCCTGTGATCATGGGTTTATCCTGACTATTTAGCAATATATTCTCTCTCTCTCTTTTTGGGATCAGTCTGCTATTTTGTCTGCTCAGTCTGCAGCGAATGTAAAGAAGGAGAGCCTTTGTCAGCCAGCTTTGGAAATCTTAGAGACCTCAAGCCAGGAATCCTCACTGGAAAGTGATACTGATGAAGATGATGACTACATGGACATATGAATGAATTCTGGCCATCATCAACACCAACCATATAACCATCTTCTTGTTGCCAGCATCTCTGGGAGTTGAAACATCTTCATTGGCATTACTCTCCATTTAATTGGCATCATTGTGTTCTTCACTTCCATTACCTTTGTTATCACCACAACCACTTGTATTGCCTTCAGAATCTTCTCCCCATCATGGTGCTTGACGGAAAGACTGATTGTTTACCAGGAAGTTAATTAACTTGGATCACGCTGTCACCGTTAACTTCAGTAAACACAAGGATGTTTTGTGCTGCAATTCATATCTCTCTGCTGTTCCTGCTTCTTCAAACCAGAGCTTTGGGAGGCTCTTTTCTATAACATTTTCTTCCTTTTAGTTGTCTTGCATTTTTCCCTCTAGCTAAGTTTTCTCCCAATAATTCAGCAACCTGATGTCTGTCTAACCATGCCATGATTAGTCCAACAGCTCCTTTTAAGGTGAATGGAGTAGGAAAAATTTGCTGAGCTGGTAGAGATTTTAGTTGCATCAAGAAAGTCTGTGGCTTTTGTCATAGGGCAAGGAGGGTGAGCTGAGAGTCTGTCAGCTCCTTCCCACTGCTGGGTGCTTTGTTGGAATTTGACTCAGTGACAATAGACAAAAGAACCAGCTTTTCCAGGCAGACAGAGAGAGCTTGGTCTCCTGTTTGTGCTCATTTCGCACCAATGTATGAGGTCCAGCAAAAATTATCTACCTGAATGTTGGCTTAAAGAACTGATCTTTCCAGAATTGTCTTACAGTCCTTTCTCTTCTAATGCCTTGGACAAGCATTTTGAATTGGGGGCTAGATGATATTTTTATGGTGGTATTGAAAAAAAAACTTGAAAGATTTCAGTACCATTTCAGTAATGTCTGTTTTTTACAGAATGACACGAAAAGGTGTTTTTTATCTATCTGCAGAGGGACTGCTCACAGTTATTTATATGAGAAAATAATGGTAACAAAGATCCTTTTTTTTTTTTTTTCTACTGAATGTTAACTTTGTAAAATAATGAATGCAAACCATGCAAAAAAAATACGTCACACACTATATATACACACGCGTGCGCCCACACACATATATATATGTGTATGTACATATATATATGTATGTATATGAAAACAGAAATGCATACAGCTTGCAATGTCGGATTCCTTTGTGATGGGGGGGGTTGGTTTTCTGTAAAATGCAGAGCTTTGTATAAACTTTTGGGGTTTTTTTTCTAATAAAGTTGAAATGTACTGTTGTCTCTGTTTGTTTGAGAGGGCACAAGGTACTGTGGTTCTGGAAAGAGTACTACTCCTCTTTCCTTTTATTTCTTGCATAAGAAATAAAAGGGGCTGGGGGGATGTGATGCGAGCCCCTTTATTTTCTGAAGACTGCCAGAGCTCTTGGGGTGGGTTTGGTCTGTGTGACCCAGGACCCAGGTCAGCAAGTGTTGCCAAGATTGCCTGCAATGGGTTCACTTCCCCATCAAGACATGATGTGAATTCTTTTTCACCCATCCTGGTGTTTTTGAATGCTGATGAACAACACAAGGGGGAAGGCATCATGTGGGGAGCGGGATCACATAGAATATTTGGCTGTACAGACCAGCACTTAATGCACTATTACAGTGATTAATCTGCTTGACTGTTAGGAATGGCAAATGGACTGCAGAGAAAAAGAAGCAGCATCAATCTTTGCAAGTTTATTCTGGGGTTTTTGTTTTGAACAAAATGTAGTTTATAAGCAAATGAACACGTTCATTTTGGATGTATTAGCAACTGTTTGTGTAACTTGTTCTCCTACTACAAGTAATAGGTGGGGTGAACACAGTTGATGTGGAAAAGGGGAGGCAGCTGAATGGTAAAGCAAACGGGTATTTTTAGTAGTAATATGTTTTCAGTGTTTTCTCCTTAGTTTTCAGTGTATAGAATACTGTGTAGTCATTGGTAAAAGGCTGAGGGAGCTTTAGATAATCAAGTATGATCTTCAGGTTTTTTAGAAGAAAGCATAGGAAAACATAAATCAGCCTCTTAGGAGAAATGGAAGCCAACTGTGAGGATATAGTTCTGAATAGGGTTTTTTCAAGTAGAGCAGACTACACAGACTTTTTGGCTAATGTGTATTCTTAAATATATTGCTAACTTAAACATCACATTTAAATTCTTAGGTCCAGACTTTAGCATGGTTTGATGTATAAAGCATTTCATTTTCTTAATTGAATCGATCACTGAAATTGGTGCCTTTTTTTTTTTTTGCTTTTTTTCCCTTTTTTTTTTTTTTCTCCTCCAGAGCTTCCTAAAATGCCTGGTCTTGAGTTTTCTTTTGGTTTCTAGTCCTGCTTTTTGAGAAGGATTTAAATTTTTGCTGGTTAAGGAAAGCTAGAACAGTAAGTGTAACTGTTCCTGTCAGCAAAGAGAGCTAAATTTGCTGATCTGCCCTAAACTCATTTTGATGTTCAAACTGTGCAACTTGTTTTGTCCTGTATTCAACTCTCTTACCTGCGCTTTTTTTTTTTTTTAATTTATCATTTTTTATTCCTGTGATGCTCTTGAGCAGCTCAAGGACTTTTTCTCAAGCTCAGGAAGTTACTGAGAGACTGAACTGCACAGGCCACCTCCTTCCAGTCCTGCCCTTCTGCTACTGACTAAATAGTGTGTTGCTCAGCTCTGGGCCTTCTTCATCAATGGGTGTAACTGCTGATGTGCACTGCAGGAGCTCTTCTTGTCTGTGTGTGAAATCATCCCTCTGTAAGTACAGTTTATGTAGTTTGTCAGTTCAAGGAGCCGTATTCTGGAATGAAGATGCCGAGATCACTGGGTGCCTGGAGACACGAGGTTTGTTTGAAGCACCATCCCTGAAGGTACTTGGAGCAAGAACTTCAAATCCTTACAAACAGAAATATTCACTTTGGGTGGTATCTTCTGAAGCTTGGCCATAGAATCTTGTGGAATTTTCAAGACAAAAAGCATTATAGTAAAACTGCAGTTAGTGATTACTTGAAGTAATCTCATTTATTTGGGTCTAATCCTGGTGGTTATAGCTTGAAATCCCAAGCCTAGACAAGATCCAGTTTACCAAATTGCATATCAAATGTAAACACTACATCTGTCTTGAGGATTTACTGAGTAACCATTGTTCCTGACATCACAGTGTTCCCAGGTGTGTCTGCTGTGCCAGACAAGTAAATGGCAGCTGCTGAAGTACATTGCTGTGGTTTGGTTTTGGTTTGGTTTTTCCCTGTGAAGCCATAGGGACAGGAATGTCTGGTGTCTAAAGTAAACATAAAGGTGAGGTCTGTGACCAAGTGGGGTGAGGCTTTTAGTTCTTTCTTTAATTTTTTTTTTCTCATGACAGTAATTGATTGAAAACCAAATCCTTTTTGGCTACTGCAGAGCCACAGTGTTAAGACTTACAGGCAAGCATCAAAACCATTTTTGTTCCAAGGCAAATGGAAAAAGAAATTATTTTGAATCAGATGTTGAGAGTAATTTGTGAAGAGTTAATATACTTCCTGTGCTGTTACTGGGCATTGTTTTTGCACACAGTAAGCTGTCTTTCAGTGTTAAGGTGAAAGTACTGTTAATGCACATAGTACTGGGGTTTGGCTGTTTAATGCAATTTCATTTCCTGGCACAGGGTTTATATAATCTATGTGTAGTTAAGACCATTGCAAATTTATCTCTCTGAGACAAGGAGGACTAGTGTTTTACTAAGAATTAATTTTGTTGGGCACAGCTGTCATTAGTGGCTTCTGCCCACTGTCTGACAAATGCTGTAGCGTTTTCTTCAAAAGCTAATAATGTTTCCTTCCACAACCAAAATAGCAGATCAAGGAAGATACCGAGTGTCTCCTTAATTGTATCATGTACTAGGGCTTGGCAGTTGTTGTCTCTTGGTTGTTGGGGTTTTTTCCCCTTAATTAGAGTGACATTTCCTCATGAATAATGAAATTAATGTCTTTTGCAGCCAAAATAAACACCATATGGTCAGGGAGAAAGGGACCAGGAAAAGAGGAAGGCACGGCAGCTGAAGCTGATAGGAGACAAAATGGACTGAATGAGGGGCCAGGTGAGAACAGACCAAGTCTTACCATCCAGGGTGGGATCACACCCTTGTTAAATTCCATACCCTGCTTTTGCCAGTGGTGGTGATATTTCAGTGAAGGTGAAAAATCTATGGTGTACTACCTGTGTGTACAGTGTTATACACCAAGCACAGTTTGTTTCTGCTCCTACAGGTGCTTGTCTTATTTTTAGGGGACTAGGTGGGCAGGGTAAATGAGTTGAGATGCACACAAAAAGAAAACAGCAGACAGACATTTTGTGATCTCTATTTCTTAGTCACTTAAAGCTGGGATGAAGCAGCTTTGCTTTTGCAGCTGAAGGTGATGGTAGGAAGTTCACTGTAGGCTGGATGTTAATTATTGTCTTTCTCTTCTAGTTGATAACTGGGGATCCACTAATGCTAAATTATGATGCTATTTAGGATTTGGGGAGTAACCTTGGGATACTGCAGCACAGGCTGTACCCCAGCCCAGTTATGCCTTTGTGGGACTCTGTGCTGTCCTTGCAGGCCATGGTGGAACCAGCAGCATTGCCAACCAGCATCTGGGTTTGTTCGGCTTCTGGAGGGTGACTGAAGTTCACTCAAATGGCCCTTTCACATTAATACTTAAAAAATCCCAGGCAAATTTCACCTGAGAGTTAACGACATGTCTCCTTGGATAGACATTTTTGTTCCTGCTGCTGTTTGTTTAATGCAACTGTGAGCGTAACAGCCCTCAGCAAGCACTTGTTAACCAACTCCAGAGCCCCTTTTCCAGTCTCCAGAGCTGTCCTTGAGCTCGCCCACCTCAGGGCAGCTTTGTGGGCAAGGTCCTGCTGGCTGTGAGTGCATCTCTCTAGCCCAGTGCCCAGAGCTCATCCCGTGTCATTCAGAAGCTACTCTGGCCGCTCTGGTAGCACTAGAGGGGGCCCTAGGACAGAGGAGGGAAGGGAGGGGAAGAAACAAAGGGGGAAACCACCCACTCACCCTGAAATGGACGACCAAGATCTATCCTGAAACTTCTGAAGGACTACGTGGCACTGCTGGTTTGGACCTCGCTCAGTTCTTAGGGCTTTCTGCTGCTGTGCCATATGTCCTTTACATAATGTATAGTCTGATTCAAAGCAGAGGGAATGAGAATCCTCGTGGGCTGTTTACAGGATTGTGTGTTCCTGGCCATGGCAACGAAAAACAAGAGCTCACTTTGTTACCATTAATATTGACACTTGGCAGGAAAACAGATCCACTCTATACTTGCTTTTCACACAAAATCTGTTTGCCCCATGACTTTGTTTTCCCTTTTTTTTTTTTTTTTCCTTAATTTCTCTATAAGAAGCCCACTGGGTGTTTCCATTTTCTTAATGTGCAGCGTATTATAGTGGGGAGAGGGAGCATCTCCTGACAGTCTTGTGTAAAAGGTTGAGCTTTGTCAGTGTAAATGCTGATTAATTCAATCCCAGTTCCTTGCAGTGGTGTGGGGTTTGTGCTGATGTAACTGAGCCCAGCAGTAGGTGATAAACACGCCACTTGTGGGTCTGTGAAGTGTTTTGAGATACTTTTTGAGAAGTAAAATTCTAATCAGGGATGAAAATGTTTATGGGACTGATGAAAGGAATATGAAGCTTTCAAGCTTGGATAAAATATTGTAAGACAGTGTCAGTTCTGTGAAGCAGCCTAGAGGTGAGATCAGGTCCTGGAGCCATCTGGCAGGCTTCCTGCTCAGGAGGAGGACAGTGAGATGGAGCTGAGGCCACGCAGCGACTGCAGAATCAGGAAAACCAAATCACTTCTACCAAGGGAAAAAGTAAAATCACACTTCTGCCTGCACGTAAGATTTATCTGCGCAATTAAATGATCGTGTCTATAGTTGGTACAAAAACATTCCATTATATAATCCCAGTGGGAGGAATACTTTGCAATGTCTCTCTAACTACATTGTCCTATTGAAGGAAACTGCCTATCTAAAACCTATCTATGGTAAAAAGTAGTTTTTGCTCTCAGATTAGACAGGGGTATCCCCCTCTCAATTTTTATTTCTCAGCCTATTTTTTTTTTTCTCTCCCATGTCTTTCAGAGACCCTGCAAACAACAGTGAATTCCAGTATAAATGGAATATAAACAAAGTTCATATATGGTATAAGCATATGAGAACCACATTGGAATGGTATTCACTTAGTTTCAGTAGAGTGATATTATTATTGTAACTACAAGTGAAAGGCCACGTAGAAGGGCAAAGGTATTTTAGACATAGTGCTTCTTGCATGAATTGCTACATATACCTGCAGTTACCCTAAAGACCTGCCCACTTATTGACATTCTTTTCCTTCTCTGAGGACAGATATGGAGGGCTGCTCACGAGGAATAGTATGCAACTGAGTTTTACTTGCAAATATGCATTACATGAACTATGATCTAATATAGCACTGAACACATACTGTTCAGTAATAATTAGTAAAGGATGTTGTATGAGCAGAAAAGCTTCATATACTTCAGAAGTGTTCTTTGATTCCTTGTAATTTAAGTCACACCAGAGATTTCATTTCCTTAAATTACACCCTAATGTGTATGAAGAGCCACATTTTCTCTTCTAAATGCGTGGATATATATAAAATGTAACTCCTTCAGTAAGATTGCAGTGATAATTTTCTTCTCCCCTTAAAAGATGGCACTAGATGTATTCTCAGAAAATCGCTTAACTTGTTAATTGAGCCACCATACAGAACCTCACCATGCTATATGGACGTCAGGAAGCAATTTGAGTGTAGAAATTTGTCACTTAGGAATGTCTGGACTGTGTATCAGATTTCCATTAGGTTTGAGTGGGCTAGGGGAAAAAAAAATAAAAGTTCAGAAATTCATAGTGGGAGTTCTGAGCTTACAGCATCAATTTACAATACCCTGAAGTGAGCGACACAAGTTCACATAGCTGCTGCCGTGGCTGTCCCAATAGACACCCTGCTGGAAATGCTTCCTATCCTTAATAAGTAAATGGGCTTTCCTGGGAGCAAAACAGAGAGTGTTGTTTCGCAGCAAGTGTCAGTGGTGCAAGGGGATTTTTCAGTTTGGCTTTCTTGGATCATAATGACAGCTTGGGATTGCACATTGTAAAGTATTTCTGCAAAGGGAAATGCAGGGGGTTTGTGCTGGTACCCTGGGTCGGTTGATCCCATTGCACTGCTACCTAAGGAAACCTTTGAATTCTGCCAGTGCAGTCAGAAGAAGCTGTTGGCACCTAGGCAGTGCTGTCAGCTCATGTTTTAATTGTGGTGCTACAGACGTGGGTCTATCTGTAGAAGCCAAACAAACCGAGTGCATTTACTGGTACACACTTGGATGCACTGTGTTGCTTTTTACTCTCTCTAAAATCGACGTTCCTGTGAACTGGGCAAGGATTCTCCTACAGTGGTACGTTCTACCAGGTCTGTACTTTCCCTTGGAAGCTGGTTTTCTCAAGGTCAGAAGAAAAATGAGAAAGCAGAGCAGGTTTGCTAGAAAAATTTTGCTAGAAAGCCTGCAGCCTCAGAGTCATTTTGGTTCCTTGATGTGTCCCACTGCCTCCCCCTCACCACAGAGATATCCCTGTGCAGCTGGGATGGCAGGTGCCCACCCTGGCCTGGGCTGAGCCCCTGGACGGGTGTATTGGCAGCTGCTGAGGGGCAGACACAGGGGCCTTAACAACTGCACATAGCTCAGCTCCCTGCTCTGGAGGTGTTACCCTCCAGACTGCGCAGTTCACTTGCAGATAACTTGATCAAAATGTAAGAGAAAGAGTAAACAGTCTGTACATAAAATGCACTCAAGCTGCATTTTATTTTTTGATAAGGTGAGCTTGTTGCAATTTCAGTGAAACTCAGAAGTATTTGTATTACTGTTACAGTGCCCAGGCTGAGCGTATGGTCATGATTCAGTTCTGACACCTCGGGCACAGAGACAGCAGTGGGACAACTGTCTGTTATCAGATACTATCAACACATGGAAAAGTAGCTGTAAAGAGTATGTAAATATGGAAATGTTATTTCCAAGTGCAGAGAGTCTGCTGGGGAAGAGAGAGAGAGGAGGAGGACAATGTTCCTTCTGAAACACGTGCCTGATTCAACAAGGTACCTAAATGTAAATAACTACTATTGATTTTAACAAAGATAGCAAAGGGCAGCATCACCTTACATTTCACCAAAGGCTCACGTTGTGTACAGTTTCTTCAATGACCTAACATATTTCTACAACTAAAATTTCCATCAAAAATAAATGCTTTAAAATAAATAGACTTAAATTCCCTAGTACGTGCAGACTCCAGAGTTCACTGTTAACCACTGAAAAATGCAAAAGGCCAAAGAAAGATGGAAGTATCTCTGCTGGTAAAAAAAAAAATCAGCCCTAATTACTTCTCCCTGAAATTATGGTGGCTATGGCATGTAGATGAACTTTGGAGAGCAACTAGTGTAATGCCCTAAGTTCCAGAAAGGGAGGTCATAAAATTAAATTCTGTTTGGTGATACCTGTCTGCACATGATCCCAGAGGCAATGTTTGTTAGGAATATCATTTCCTTTAACAGCTTTTCTCCCCCATCCTCAGGGTCTCGTACTGTTCCAGCAAGGAAATCCTGGTGGCTTTTGGAACAGTAGCAGCAGAACTGGTGATATATTCTGAATAAGGTGGACTAGAAGCTGCTCTTTCTTTGTGGGTTCTGGATCTGAATTTTGTCAATATTCACTTTCTACACCCATTTCGTAATAATGCAATGGATTTATTTATTAAATCATAGATGTCAAAAGAACTGAATTGTGTATCAGAACTTTCCCATTAGCTGGTGAGTTTTGCAATTTATCTTCCATTTTCTGTCTCCATAAAATAGAAACTACTTGTCCAAAGCTGTCCCCCCCCCCCTAAATTGCCACTGAATTTGCAGCTAGGACATTTTTACATGTCTTTAAATGTTTATAATTTTATCTTCTAGCCAATTTTTTGTAAAACTGTGGCTTTATTTATCTTGAGTGAATGACTATTACTATCTGCTAGAAACCATTCCCACTGTTAAATTAAATGAGAGCAATACAGAAATTATCTGAGTTTTTGTCATGGTGAATAACTCCAAATAACTCAGAGCTTCCCATGAGTTCTGGAGAGGACTAACAAGTGTCTGCTCATGTAAGTTGTCATGGGTTTGCAAAGCCACGACATAAGTGTAGAACACGCTCACTTTTTTGAGACTCCTTAGCTCTGAACGCTGAGAAATTGGGATAATTCAGTGCAGCAAAACCCCAAGTCTCTGTTCTAATCAAGCCTTACTTGGATTTTTCAGTTTTTTCCATTCCCCAGTTGAAATTTCCTGTGTCTTGTAACCGTTTAGCAATATGTTACTAACCATCCATTATGTCCTGCTTTATTCTCTTTCAGATGAAAGAGCCATGAAAAAAAAGAATTCACCAGCCCCTGTGACTGAATTTGAGCGATAATGTCAATGGAATTAACACATTGCCATTGTTGAATGGTCTCCTGTGGCTATATAAACATCAAGGTAACACATTTCCAAAGCAGAAGACATTACTGCTGTGATACTGTTGTTGTGAGAATATTTCCTTACTGCCAAAACACTGATGTAGATTTAGTGTTTTGCCTGCTGGAGAATGATGTGGGGAGAGAAGGAGGGGGGGAAAGGTTGATTTTACTGCTTTTATTTTTGCTGAATTCTGGTTTATCTGCTGAAGAAAATCTATTAAATTGTTTGGCTAAACATGGAATGAGAGCATAAATACGTTGAAGTTTATTTAAGACAACTTCTGATTGGTAAATGCATTTAAATGATGGCACTTTTAAGGGCCTAATTCCATTTCTGAAGAGAGCCTTTTGGAAAAGCTGGGGCAGAACTGCTTTCAGGAAACCCAGGATTTTTCAACCTGGGGAGAGTTTGCTCAAGAATAGGTGTCTCCTGCACTGTCTTCATCCATTAACATAATTTTCATCTCTGCAAACAGAAACAGACTGAGGCTTAAGTACCTTTGGTATGTTGCTGAGTAAAATTTTAGTAAGGTGGAAGTTTCAGTTTTAACTTTGAGGGTGGCAAGGCTAGTTGGAAAACTTTTTAATGGTGATGATCCCACTGCAGATTCGTTGTCACTGTCTCGCCTAATGCAAGAGAGAAACAACTGATGTGGACGTGGCACAGGAGTGGTCTGGAATTCCTTGGGTCACAGAACCATGGAGAAGGCAGAGCTGGAGAGTGGGACATGCAGGTAACAGTAACAATTTCCTGTATTATGACTTTCCTGATCCTGGTGCAAATGGAAAAAGAACCTGTATTTCTGCAAGAATGTTTTCATTTATCTTCAGGCAAGAAAACGTTCAGGCAGTAAGTGCTAAACCTGATAAGTGCTGTTCCTAAATAAGCCTTGTTATGTGAGTTTTACTTCTCTGCAAGGTTAAAGCCATTTTTAAACAACGAGTTGATAGGTTTGCTGCGTTTCTACTGACCAGAGACCATAACCCAGCTATCAAAGGGTGGGAAGTCAATCTCAAGGTTGACCTTACTGGGCAAAGAATCCATGAGACAGACCCACTGCCTGGCCAGAGCTGAATCACTTCTGGTAAAAAGGACTTCAGTTTGCAATCTGGCACTTCTGTGAACGTTAGGGCTGAAACAGAAAAGAGGGAGGTATTGTCCATCCCAGTTTATTCCAAGAACAGCCCTGGGTTGGATTCCTTAAAGGAAAGGACTCCTCAGCACAAGGAATGTTCTGTTTCTGGGCTGCTCTTGGTTATCAAGGGGTAGAAAAGAAAGCTGTGAGGGAAAGAGGGAGGAGCTGCCCTTGGCAGGAGTTTGTTAGGACACAGAAAATGACTTGGTGAGTGATGAACACTGTGCAGGAGTTCAGTGAATGAAGTGGACATGGCTGTGTGACCTGATGTCCTTTTCTCTCCCTTGAGGGCTGTTTGAAGCTCTCTGAAAGCAGAGAGGAGAGTAGCTACTAAACTTTGTGCTTCAGAATTGCACAGAAAACGCTTCTTTGATCCATGGATCAATCTTTTGCCAGCTCTAATACAATGGCTGATGGCTTTAGTGTATCTGCACTGTCACCCAAAGGCACCTGTTGGGAGATGTAACTCAGTGGCTCAATAACTTCTCACCTTTCTCATCACTCTGACCTAAGCATAGGAGTGGGGAAGAGGAGCACCCTTCCAAGCTCAGCAACATTTAGATTGCAGTCCCACTTCCCTTGGGAGTCAATAGCTGGTCTTTTGGGAATGTCTGGAAAGATAGGATTTTCTTTTTGTAAATCCTCAGCTGGGTACAGGAGCTGATGGCAGGACCCCTGAGCCCAGCAAGAGGATACCAATGGCAGAATAATCCACAACCTGTTACTTTTCTTTTTTTTTTTCCTTCACTGTGTCTTACCTTTCCTTTTTTCCCTTCTTTCTTTCTACCTTCATTTTCCCATACATTTTTTCCCCCACTTACTCACCTTTTTCCTTTTAAGAACTTATGGAGCCCTTCTGCACTTCTTCCCTAGGGTTCTTCCAGAACACCTGCCCTCAGATGGCTCACAGCACCAGTGCCAAAACAGGCACCAGCCTAATGGCAGCTGCAGCTGCAAATAACACCAGGGACAATGCCAGGTAGGAGAAAGTGGTGCATTATCTGAGTCAATTATTAAGGTCCTGGTTTCATCACCTTGGACTTCAGTAATGCAGTTGTGTGTATACCCTGAGACCTAAACATCCAGCAACAAATCTCATGGGGAAAATTCAGCATGATTCCCATGGTTTATTTCCTGTTATTTTACATTAGGTCTCCATTGCCAAGATTCTGAACAAAAGGCAGGCCTGGCCACTGCTCAGGATTGTTATTGTGGTTCAAACTTGAGTCTGAAAGATTCTTTCTTTTTGCATTTGCATTCTGCATTTCACTTGATTTATGCTCCATTTCGCTTCTGGGATGATCCAGATTCCTCAGATACCTCACCCAGATTCCCCAGCTCTTAGGACTCAATGGAAGAGAGGAACAGTCTCCTTCAGGAGACCTGAGGTCACCAGTAAAGCTCTGAGACAGTGTGATTAAATAAGAGAAGCCTGGACATTTCCCCCTTCTGGAATCTGTGTCAGATGTGTAGTGCTGTAACCCAGAGTGTGCCAGTGGGCCTGGGTTACATCCCAGTGGGAAGCAGTCTATTCATATGCCAGTGGCACATCCATCCCTTCTTCCTTGGGGCCCCAGAATTCCTTTAGTACTCATTCGAGGTATCCCAGGAATAAGAGGTGAGAAGGTGCCTCAAAGCCTTCTGTGCTGTTGCTGCTGCCAAGGCAGGACTGTTCTCTGCAATGCCAGTGGTTTGTGCAAAAGGCAGTTAAAAGCCCAACACAGTAAGGACTTTGTTCCTCTGTGAACAGGCTGCCCTTGCACAGGCAGAATGCTTTTTTCCTGGATACTCAAATTGCTTCTCTCTCATTTTCATCCCAACTAATGAAGATAATTATATCCCTTTGTAGCACATTAATTCCTCTGTCATCTGTATGTTTACACCCTGCAGACATGTTCATTTCTTCTTTGTGTACAGGGCTGTCAATCAGTGAAGATTTACTTAACCAGCTCCTCTAATCTTTTCTGGTGTTCAGCTCATCCAGTCTCCCTCCAGTTCCCCAGTAGCTTTGATAATGAGGTGATAAGAATTACTTGTGGTTTTACCAGTTTGTTTTACATCGGGCTCTCAGAAAGAAGCCCTGCCGCTTTCCTGCTCAACTGTATGCTATTTTCACATGTGCATCCTGTGGTTATGTTTGTGGTTGTATTTCCAACAGGGAAGTGAAAGCATCTCACTGCAAAAAACCCTATGAGCTGTCTCTGTATTGGAGCCTCATTAACGTTACCATATTTTTATAGGTGGATATGGCTGAACATCACTGCCTTCCAAACAAAAGTTTAAGTGATACTAAGGTTCTCTGAAGGGAAAATCTGGAATCAGGGGTGAGGAACTCCAGAAGTCAACAATTCCTCCCTTGAACAGCTTCTTCACAGTCTGATGCAAAGGGAGGAGAAGGAGTATTTCCATCTTGGAGAGGAAATACACAACAAAAAAAGTCAGAAAGACGTAATGGGGACCAAGGATGGACTTAGGTTTATGATAATCTACACCAGCCCTTGGTAGACTTGGTAACTTGTCCAGTCTGTGTTGTAGAGCACAAACTGTAAATCTGAGGCTCCCTCTGCACTCTAAGCACTCTAAGTTTGGAAATGAAATGCCACTCACTCCGTGGCAGTGAGTCCAAACCTCCATCCCAGGCAGGCTGAACTCCCTAATCTGACCCCAGCAGGAGCTCCCTGCAGAAGCCTAAACCAGTAACTGCAGTATTAGAGGGTGGCAAAACCAGTGACCTCATTATTGATAACCATCTAATCTGTGCTCACAGCAGTGCTTGCTCTCAAACGTGACTTTGATTTCCTCCTGCACACTCCCCAGCACTCTTCTTAGCAGAATTTAAGTATTTCTGATGAATCTACATTGTATTGTTTGTATCTGCATGTGGTTGGCAGGCATAGGTTAGGCTGTGTAATAGCAGTCATTTAAAAACAGTTTTGCCTCTCAAAAGCAAAGTTTAGGTTTTTAAGTGGTACCTATTATGTGTATTAGTGTTTGCAAGGTTAGAGAGGAGAAGAAATCTAAGTCATTTATGCCTAAGTAGCTAAAATCCAGTCTTTTCAGTATGATGCAGTCATTGCACACCTCTGTTCTCATTCCAAGTGAAAGTTGCCTGTATGTTCAGAGAGGACAGAGCCATGTGTCATCCCTTGGTTTCTCAGGGAATTTCAACCAATATATTTAAAACATTCAGGTGTCTGATGTTCTTAACAACTTAGAAGCATTTGTTCGCTATAGTAGGGCTAATTTTTAATTTATTTTTCTAAGCACATCTATCCAAAATGATGCTAGGCTTTTATATTCACAGCGGGGAGCATTGTGAGGTTTAAATATCCCTTTAATCACTAAGGATGTAATAAAAACAAGGAGAGTTCTTTGAGCTGCAGAGTGTCACCCAGGGAAAAATCTACTCTGGAGCTTACAAATGTGAGCTGAAGAGACAAACTGGGCAATAAAATCCACAACTACGGACCAAACCGGCTAAAAGCTGGTCTGTAGCTGCCCATCAGGAGCTGAGACTTGGAGGGGGGAAAAGGCCATTCAGCACCTCTAGAGCCATAAGAGCCAGGTCATAAACGTTTCACAATCTGCTGGGGAGGGGGAGGGAGCCGTGGGGCCGTGATCTGCCTGGGGTCTGTACCCGTGACTGCAACAAAGAATGAGTATAGAAATTTGACTGTATGGGAAGAATAGACGGGAAAAATCTGGCCAAATCAGGGATTGCAGGGAGAAGTGGCAGCTGTCAGTTCATGTATTTGTATGACAGGCTCATCCCACTGTTGATGTGAGGAATCCATGAGATCTGGCAGGTGCTGTTTTCTATTATCAGTGATGTTGAAGGATTCTTACCTGACTGTTGTTACTATGGACCCCAGTATCTCTTTGCTGCGAGGTGATGAACAAGTTGGGTGAGTTGTAGAGCTCACAGCGGTTTTTATTTTGAAATTCCAAACACTTTAAATATTAACAATTTTAATCTGCTCTTTGAAGATAGTTCATCTGATAGGAATTACACTGTTTATTGATCTCCTGATTTCATTAGAACCCTACTGTGATGAACAGTATATGGAAACTTCCTTATGTAACTGATGCAAGGGTTCTGTCTTGGCCAAACAAAGTAACTCAGACCCTTGACTTGCATGATTGAAGTCTGGCTTTCTGTGGGTTTCATGGCTTTACAAATGCCTGATCACCAACAAAAAGAAATCTTTTGCAGAAACCGAAGCAGCATAACGGTGTATCGACAATCTTGAAAGTCCATAAGGTTTAGATAAAAGCTCCTGGGTTTGAGCTGCTGCTTTTTTTTTCTGTTTTGGAAACATCAGCTTTTTAATGGAGATTGCTGCAGCATTGTCTGTTGGGCTTCTGCTCAGCAGAATCCATTCTGCTCGGGGTTTTTGTCTGGTCTCAATTCATGATTAAGTAAACTGCCAGCAATTTTTGAGCTCTGCATGATGCTTCTCTTCGCAGATGAGCGTGTGCATGTGTATAAATATAGAAGTATTTATGGCTGGATGTTAAGCCGGAGTTACTTGCTGTCTATCTTCTCAGACAGCTCCTTTATGGCTCCCGGTGGAGAGCAGTGAGTTCAGGCAGGGCTGCTGCGTCCCCAGTGCGAGAGGAAGGAGCCTTCCCAGAGCAGGGGGAGCCTTCCCAGAGCAGGGGAGGAAAGGCAGCGCTTGCACTGTCCTTTCCCGTGCTGTGGTGCAGAGCTCTCCTCGCTGCTTCAAGTCCTTTCAGTATGTATTTTTTGTGGATTTGAGTGGGACAGAGTGCTGAGCTGTGTCTGGGAAACACAATGGGTTGACAGGAAAACAGTGCACCTAACATCAGGAGTCTGTGAGAACTTGAAAGGGCTCTAGACAGACATATTTTGCATTTGACTCTGGACTGTAGCCTTTGAGGCCAAACTCAGCCTGCAGTGTTAAGTGGCTGCTAAGTATTTCCCTTCTTGTCTCCATGCTAACGAACTGCTGGGAGCAGGGGGAGTATTGCAGAGGGCTGGGGAGGGCGGATGTGAGAAAGGGGAGACAGGGGAGCATCCTCTTTTGCTTTAGTGGAGGAGCACAGCTTTGTGGCCAGGGACCGCAGTCCACAAACCTGCAAGAGGAAAAGCCTCGTCTTAAACTTGAAATGTACAGCTTTTCATTTTTATGAGCCGCTTTCCCACGTTTCCTTCCAGAGCAGATCCTGTCTCAGCCTGTGACCCATCCCCGCAGCTCACTGTGCCTCTCTGTCCAGGGACCCCGTGGTGAATTAGCATTGAGATGTTACCAACAGGCTCTCTCCAACCAACTGTTTTGGTTTGCCAAATGTCATTTTTGCATTTTTGAGAGCACAGGGAAGATTTGGGGGCGATACAATTTGGGGCTCAGTGTGGGGTTTTCAGCCCTACAGAGATCTGACTTCTGTGGGGCCCCTTGCCGGGGTCCCAGGGTAGGAAGGTCTGGATGACACTGCACATGTGATATGCCTGAAGACACCAGACAGCTTTTCCCAGGAAAAATCAAACCCAGCCATAAAAAGGGAGGAAAAAGGTGCCTTTCTGCTCCATCAGAAGAAAATGCTGTGTTATGTGAGCTGTCCTAAGGAGCTGGGTAGGAGCTGTTCCTTTGCTGCCGCGTGATAGCAGATAATGTGCACCACTTCTTCAGAGGATCTCAAAACACTTTGCAGGGCTTTACCATTCCTGCAGCCGCCCACAGAGCCTTGCTCATAAAGCTGCCCAAGTTTAGGCTGTGCCTGTGCTGCCAGAGCTTGGCCACTCTGTCCTGGCCAGCCCTGCATTTGTATTTCCTATTTTGCTGTATGAAGTATTGGGCACTAACAAGGACAAAGGAGTCAGTGTAAGGCTGTCTATTAAGAGTTGCCCAGATGCTCTGGCACTGTGATCTACGTGTGCCAGGTGGGAATCAGGTAATGAGTCACATTTAAATGGCAGGAAGGCTTTCCTCATGTTTCGGAGGGGAGAATCTCTTAAATGCAGTTTGTACTGCTCCGTGGGTTTTTCTTCTTGCTTGTGCATATTCAACACAGCTTTGCTTAAGCCCAGTTTACTAAAGCTGATATGATAGTGCTTTCTCACAGCCATGTGCACAGAGAGAAACCTGCAGGGGCTGAATACTGGCTGCTGCACGCAGGGACTGATACACATGAGCAGTAATCCAAGGCTGGTTCTTTCAGAAGGCCGTTCTGTTGCATTTCAGCCATCCCCCAGGCAGTAGCTTTATGTCTCACACTTGAGCTTGCTCTCTGGGTAGAAGGATTCCCTGGAAGCTCTGCCTGGGCAGAGGTGATGGTGCATTGGGCACATCCACTTGCAGACTCCCACCCTGTGAGCCAAAACCCCCTGCTTGCTGACACATTGGTTATCTGTTCTCCAGCAGTCGGAGAGCCCCAGGCAGCAACCAGAGATAGTGAGATGATCACAGTGTTGGACAGCAGGGAAGGCTGTCCAAACCAGCTTTGTTTGTGTGCAAACCAGCTCCACACAAGGTCCTGCTGAGCACTAAGGGTTAAAGCTTCCCTTAAGGTGGGAGAAACGCCAGAAAACATTTGCCTTACTACAAGACCCGGAGGGGAACAGGGAACATTTCATTCTAATCACCTCCTCAAAGAGATGCAAAGCAAAAGCTCTTGGCCTCTGGTTTTGTCATCACACATTCCCTCCCTCCTGCACTGCCCTAGCTCGTCCCTTCGGCACAGGGCAGAGCCTGCAGTTAGAGCTGGGCTCAGCAGGATTTATACCTGCTGCTGTAAATGAGCTTGGAGCAGAGCTGTGGATGTCACCGACTTACACATGTCAGATCCACTCTCTCTCCTGGCCCTTTCCACACCCTCAGCCTGCAGTTTGCCAGGGAATTGTTAGACACCAGCACATTCACCTCTGACTTCCCAGCAAACTGCCCGAGGGCTCTCCATGGACAGACAGACAAGGGTAATGTGCTAAATTCCCCCTTTGCTAGGGATGAATTTCCTGGGGATTGCCTCCTGTTAGCCACACTTTCCACCAATAGTAACAAATTAGTTGTTTTTTGGGGTTTGTGGGTTTTTTCACTTTTAAAACCTTTCCAGTGCAACTGGAATGGCTGGGAGAAAGCTGGTTGTTAACTAGTCATGGGTAATTAATGACTCCACCTTCCCCATCAATCAGCTGGGAGAAGCCAAAAGGATTTGAGTACTTATAGCAAATGTGTGTTCCCCAGACATGCTGATACACAGCGTGCAAATGAAGTGGCAGCAGGAGACCATCTCATACCCTTTGTGGAAGAAGCAGAAAGTCATGATACACATCCCACGCTCTTGTCAGGTGAAGTCTGAAATTCCCAGTGCTGCTGCTGCTGTTGTGCAGTTTCTAACTGTGTGGGATGTTGATTCATCTCGCTGCTAGCTTGAATCTGACCCAATTTTTGTTCTATTTTTCCTTTTCAGATTCTGATTATGGTTGTCTTTTCCGCTTTCTACAATTAAAATACTAGCATCAGAAAAGCAGGACATGGAGAGGGAGCTGATTTGAGCTGATTTGAGCTGTCTTTCCTTCTGTGGCAGAGTAGAAAGGCATTTCTGCATCCTATTTGGTTTGTATCTGGTACAACTGTCTGTGCAAGTACAAGCAGAGGTTTGACCTTGATACCATTTCCAGCTGACCTTTTCCCTTCCGATTTACTTTTCCACGTAGGTAATAAATAATCTCCTTTGAGGTACAAGTTGGTGTTTCTCCACCTCATGAATACCTCTACTCAGTGGTAGCAAGACTCCACAACTCTGGATGTCTTCAAATTAGCTGAAGGAGAAGAGCCTGTGGTCTTCTGTATTATCCAGTGGCTTAGAAGGGCTGTCAGGAAGGTTGGATGTGGTCCTTCAGAGGTGCCAGGAGCCAGTGGACCGTCTCCTGCTATAAAATCCTCCTCAGAACTTCTCAAACTCTCCAATCCTTTTCTTTTAAACGTTCTTCTTTGCCACGCTAAGCATTAGCTTTTCTCTCCCTGACTAATGCTGGGATGCCTAAAATTCAATATACCACTGAAAGAGAGCCAGTCCCTCCTCTGACTAAGCTTTTGTCCTCTTTGCATGTCTTCACGTTGCCTGCTCCAAAAGGCAGTAAGAACAGAACTCAAGGAATGTTGTTTGGGTGTAGGAACTCACTAAACAAATTCAGAATATGTTTTGCATGTCAGACTGAAGATCGGATGTCACAGTAACATCACTGACAAAACAGAAAAATGTTTATTTTGCTTGGAGTAAATCTAGACAGTGAATCAAATGCAGCCTTATACATAGCAAGATCTTTGAAATGAACAGAGCTCCCAGATTTGCTGTGCAGGCCCCAGCACTGGCCCATCGAGACTGAGATCCTGCGTTTGACCTCCACTTTCTGACCATGTTGGTCCTGTCAATGTTAGTACAGCCATTTCTGTGAATGCACAGAACCCCCTTCTTCACCGAGGTGCAGTGGCTGCGCTGTGCCCTGAAGCCTGAGCCTTGATTGCAGTCTCTTAGCACTTGTAAGCACTCATAAGCACAAAAGCTAATGGTCACACTTGCAGAATAAACTAATTAAGGGAAAATGCTCAAGCCCTTGTTTCTGCTCAGCCTTCCCTGGGTAAGAGCAGTACCTTGAGCAAGGCCTAAACCCAGTGCCTGAGCTACCCCCAAAAAAGCTAAGGGTGCAGTTCAGGGCTGGGAATGCAGATATTGGGCAGGTAAGTAACGTTGTTATCATCGAGTGTGTTTACATCCTTGGAGAAGGATCTGTGGGTGAAGGGATGTGTTGAGAGCACACTCCGGTGCAGACTGTTAATCACCCACTTGGGAAGGGACAGGCTCGATGCAGCCCTATTCTGATACAACAAATAAAGAGTAAAATGAGTCTGTGCGCTGATGATGGGAATTACCACAAATCCATGGAATAGCCAAAAGGAAACTTTGCCTGCTTGCTGTTTAAAGGGATTTGTTTTGATTTTGTAGCTAAGTCCTCAACTGATGTTTTGGGTCTTGTCTCTGTTTGTTTAAAAGTGCGTTAGCAGTAAATCAAGGTGCATTTCCCCCGTCGGGTTTCCTGTATGTCAAAGCCATGTTAATTCTCTTTGATTTTCTTCCCTTAGCCCAAGCCATTGCTGCAGATCCTTCCTCTCTTTGTCCCTTTGGACATCAAAGGATCGCAAGGGGACAGCCCTGGCGGGAAGCTCCTCCCTGCTCATTAGCCTCCATAAAACAGGAACTCACCTTGGCTAGCTGTGCTTGGAGTCCCATCCTCATCCCGCTCACTCTTGACACTGGATCTCAGAAGGAAGGGCTTGTGCTCGCTTCAGGAAATCAGACCTGCTTTTGAACTGGACTATTTTGGTTCCCCTTGCAAGAACTCAGGTGGCTCTCTTGGCCCTGCAAGCTCCTAGACGTCACAGTACATGGAAAAATGCAAGCTTTACCAGGTAAGGGAAAGACTCTTTCCCTTTCCTTATTGGGTGGAAAAATCCTAGACTTATGCCAGAAAGGGAACAAGTGCTCCTGAAGGGCTACGAGCATTTAAAGTAGTGTGCATGGGGCTGGAGAGGATTTATAAACTGTTTTTTTTCTTAGGAGTTGATGATAAATTGTGGGTGTTGAGTGTTTTTTGTGAGCCTTCAGAGATCTTTTCAAAGGTTTGCTCACAATATGTCCAAAACTCCCTTATCCACATCCCCTTGTGCCATGTGATCCTCCACTGAAGGCTGGAGGTGTTATTTGTGTGTTGTCTGCAAAGTACTGAGCTCTTCGGGTATGAAGGCCAGGGAACGTTTGGAAATATTTGTTCATCTTCTATTAATAGTTCTGATACCAACTATTTGGTTTTTCTCTTTTTTTTTTTTTTTCCCCCCTCTGCCTTTGAAAGTATAAACCACAAGCAGGCATAGGCCACCTCTTCCAGGCTCATGCCCAACACACAGGATTTTTATGATTTCCTTAGGCTTTCATTTTGTTTTCCTTCACCAACCCATCCCATAACATGCTGTTTATCTCTGCTGCGTGGGGCATGATTGGATTGGGCACAATGGCAGATATGCATTGGGAAAGGAAGGGCCAGCCCAGAGGCACTGCATTTGTCAGTGTAACTGAACCCCAAATTTACTCTGGGGTTTTACTGTACATCAGAAGGAAACAGCTATTTACCTGTTTTAGGTGTGCAGTTCATAATACACATTAGAAGTGGCTGGGCACTCTCAGCTTCCTTTTTCTTCCTCTGCAAGGTGTTGTCTCATTCATAAGCAAAATACCTGGGCAGTGACTCAGTTAATTTCCACCATCCTGCTGTTTGGGGTTTTTGCAGTCCCTGCTGTGATGATCTGATTCATACTGATTTCTGCCACTTCTAAAGAATTTTGGGTTGAAAAACGAAAGGGCAGCAACGAAAAAATATAGACTGTATTATGGTATTTCATCATGTGAAGATTCCAACTGTTGCAGAAGTCACCTCATTTTCTTACTGAGTTGCTTCTGGTGTAAGACCCCCCTGTGGCAGAAATATTGCGGGTGATGGCTGGGTGCATCTGGGAGGTGAAGCCATTGCACTGGTAGACATTTAGAAGATCAGAAAACTTGGGGATTTTTTTGATTGTTGGCAAGATTAATTTCTTAAAAAGCCTTGTATATTGGCGTGCATTCCTTCCTGTGGACATGGGATAGCTGTTGGTGTTGGACTTCTTCACTTGGAAGATAACAGCAATAAATGTAACAATAACTGGTTTTAGTGAAGGTAAGAAGCATATAATTTGCCTTGTTGGACATTTCCCCATATTGCAAACCCTATCCTATACATTTTGGAAAGGCTACAACAGATTTTCTGATGTCATAACATGGTCTCTGCAATTGACAATGAATTGAAAGATTGCTTTTGGTGAGGGAATTGTACTCCAGCGTCTCCTATCCAAAAATCTTCCTCCCCCTTCAAGAATTACTTAATTGTCTCTCATTTCTCTTTCTTTCTGTCCCCAAGATAGGAAAAAGTTATGTACAGCTTATTCTAGATACAGAAACTGTAGGACAAGCTGCTCCTGTTGGTACAAGGACTTTCAAACCAAGTGCAGAATAGATTGAAGATACCTTAATTTTCAGTGCCTTTATTATCCCATCTTTCTTCCTTTTCAACCTCATCTGGCCATAAAGAATGTGTTTTAAAATGTGCCACATGCTGTGTTACCAAAATGACGATAATCATAATGCTTTTTAAACAGCTTAGAATTAGAATTCTTGGAAAATGTTTAAATCTCTTTCAAATAATACTCAAAAACTAAGTTACATAGAAGAGGAAATCATAAAAGTACAGGTCTAACAAGTGCCATTCAGTGCTTGAACACCCTGCCCAGACCTCTCTGTGCTGTAATTCCAACGAGCAGGAATTTTGTAGGGTTTTTTCTTTTGTAGGGGTTGTGTGCCTGAGTCTTGGCATTGGTTCCACAGGCACAAACTAGGAGGGAATTGGAAGTGCCTTGCAAGAGCAAGAATTGGAAGAGCCTTTGGCTCTGCAAACAAAATCCAAAGTGGATCCTACAAATAGATCCATGGCTGCAGGATCCCACTGGAGCCGACAGTGCACAGCATTAACCACATCTTGAAATCTTTGCTGCAGCATTTATTGTCCCTGTCTCCTGCAGCATCGCGCTCCTACAGGTGTGTTGTGGACTCATTTCGGTAAAAAACAGATTATAACATCTGCCTTTGATTTTAAATTCTGTGTTGAACTTTTTCACTTCAGTTCCTCTCGACTTCATTGGAAGTCTCCCCTCAGTAAGGACTCCTGAGATCTGCCTTGTTGTAGTCTCATTTAATGGCATTGGAATTTGCTTACAGAAATGTTAATTCTAAAATTCATTTGGGGAAGGAGCGAGCATCTGTCTAGCTAATCAAAATCTGTTTGCATGTATTTGTGACTGGATGGCTCCTGTGGGAAATCAGCCCAATTTTATTGTAACTCCTTTTGATACATGTGCTGCACTGAGCCACCGAATGCATCGTCTCATGGCAGCTTTCATGTCTTTGCAAGAGGATATGGGGGAAGCTTTAGTAAGAAGATGTTAACAGGCTAATCTTAGTGACCAAGCTAGGTGTCACTTCTTGGCCAGTTCATTAATGTTGGATCAAAGCAGGAAATTTTTTTTTTCTTTAAAATGCCTGAAGACCTTTACAAACTGACAGAATTACATTTAAATGTTTTTTATTTCTTTGTACTGAAGGAAGAAGCCCTTAAACTCACACTGGGTTGTTTTGGTAGAAAGATGTCCCTTTATGGAAAAAGCTAATTTCTCTGGAAATAATTGTCTGCCTTTTGTGAATATTCTTTTGAAGACATTACTCAGTAAACCTGTAACAAGGTGAAAATTCCCCTTTTTTTCTGCTGTGCTCTGAGTAACATCTGATCAGGCTGAGAGGCAGAAAAATCTCCCTTTTAAACAAATAGCTGTGCCTGGCCGCTAATGCATCACCCGGTGAGGTGTCCTGCTGGCTCTGAGCTGGGGACAGCGCTGCTGCCAGGTGCCCACGAGCAAGCGCATCCATCGCCCCGTCAGACCCCAGGGCAGTGTTAGTAAAGCCCTGCTGGGCATGAAATCAGCCCACCAGCACCACACCAGGTCACGTCTAACCTAAAGTGAAACTGGGCTTTTCAGTACAGCAGCAGCAAACTTGCCTGCCTCACAGGATAGTTAAGAGCAACTATGGAGGTTTTTAAAAGAGGTTTTTCATCCAGACAGCTCTATAGAGGTGGTTGGTATCATCAACACCAAGGATGGTTCCCCCTAGAATAGTTTCCCTTTCCTCTTCCCCAGGACCACCATTGGTCCTCTGCCTCCAATAGCAAGGGCAGATACATTGCAGGCAGCTCCTCTGATGTGCCAGGGTGTGTTACTGAACATCTTCCACTCCCATCACAGGGTCCTTGGTGGTTCCCATCTCCAGGTGCAGTTCAGAGCAGCCGTCCTCTTTTCAGAATATTCCACAGTCTATCTCTGAGACCTTCTTTTCTTGCTTTCACTTACATTTAGGACTCCTGTCTCTCCCATTTCTGGAGAGATTTTTCACCTGTGCTACCTACCTGTTGTTTTCCCCCATTATCCACTGCTACAATCACCATCTTTACAATCCTTTCAGCTTTCATTGTATTTTCTTGGTAAAAGTGTTTTTAGTAACCCTGATCATACCAGAACAGTGGATTGTGGCTACTGCTTGTGAGAGTTTTGTAACAATGGAATTTAGGTTGAGTTGGTACAGCACACAGATCTTTACAGGAGAAGCTACCAGCTAAAACAAAACCTGTTGGAAAAGGCTCTGAGCCTGTTAAGTAACAAAAATCCTTTGAAGAAAAATGACAGATTTTAAGAGGTTTGCTGTGGCACAGAGTTCCCAGTCCCACAGCAGGAGGGGCCGTGCCAGGTTGTTTCCCTCCTGCCTGCCTGAAGTCACCATCTTCTCTCTCTCTCTAGACGTGAAAGCGCCCTGTGAGGCCCTTCCTTCCCCCAGCCTGGAGCCCTACGCACAGAGCTCCATCATGGTCACCCTCGAGGACATGGATCTCTGGATGAAGTTTCATCAGATTGGAACCGAGATGATCATCACCAAATCCGGCAGGTGAGGAGTGCGGGACAGCTGCCCACCCCACACCTCTTTTCAGCTCTTGTCAAAATCTTCACCGGCTCATTTTTTGAATGGTGGTCCTTAAACTAGTTTTGTTGCCAGTTATGCACATCTCCCTGATCCTGACAGGAGAATTGCTCTTTCAGGATGTCGTAGAAGTCCAAGCTGCGAAGTGCAAAAGGTCACTTGTGGGGCTGATGTGCTGAGAAAACTTCTGTACCCTTATCTCGCATTTAACACTGGTGTTCTTCCTGTCACCTCGAGGTTGCTCTGGAAAGTGCCCTGGCCTTCCTTTGCCTGGGTCACAGGCAGCAGCAGTTGAGCAGTAAATGCCTGGGCTTGAGTCTTTTGCAGGCAAGAACATGGTGTAGTCTCATAACGATCTGTGCGTGCGGAGTACTCTAATGCATAAATGAGTCATGTATTGTGGAGCTTGCAGGGAAAGAACACGGAATTGTGAAATTGTAATGTATTATGTCAAAGCTGCTGTGAGCTGAAATAATCCCTTTGGGTAGGGAGGTAGGTGTCAAAGCTTTTTTGCAGAGTCAGAAGTTAAAAGTAGTGGCAGGGAGTACGGGAACAGAAAGCCGGATGTGCTCTTAGATGAGAGCACGTTTTCTACCCACGCTCAGAAATGCTCTAATCCATCCTCCAGGTCTGTGAGAGCTGCAGCAGGCGAGGAACTACGTACAGAACTCCAAATAGTTCCTTTTAAGTTTCCCACTGTCGTGTTACAGGAATTGGAGGAACAGAGGCAGTAAGTGTCAGGCCGTCAGTGAGTGCTGCCCTGTTAGTGCCTATCCCACCTAAACCCACAGGACCAGACAGTCCATCACTAAGATGGACAAATGGTCAATAGCTGGATGGAGAAATACTGCTGCAAGGACTTTGCCAGTAGTTGGTAAACAGGGCATGCTGCTTGATCATTAAAATCACTTTATAGAGAAATCTTTTTGTACTCTTATTTTTCGTTTCTCCTTCAGACGAATGTTTCCACAATGCAAAATCAAAGTCTCTGGCTTAATCCCATATGCCAAGTACCTCATGCTGGTAGATTTTGTGCCAATGGACAACTTCAGGTACAAGGTAAGTACTTTAAATAACAGAATTTATACCGTCCTTTAATCTTTGTTTGAAAGAGATTAATCTTTATGCTTCACTGGCCATAGTGATAAATAAATTCTCTTTGGACAAAGTTCAGAAGTAATTGGTGGATTTTATGCCTCTCTGGAGTTATTTGTCAGTTTTGCTTGGGGAGCAGTTGGAAGGGTTACAGTTTTCATTGTAAGCAGTAGAGTTTTAATCATGATTAACACCAGACTTCTCTGACAGACATTGGGGAAAAAGGGAAGAAAAATGAGGCCTAAACTCGGAGCTGATTTGGTAACATGATCATGGCTCATAAGAGGGAATCTGCTGCCTCTGCTCCAGAGGCATGCACTGAATTGACAGTGAAGCAAAGTAGCTGGGCTTTCCTGTACTGAAAGCAGGTTTTTTTAAGCTCCTGATTTCTGTCTTTCCCTTCACAGTGGAATAAAGATCAGTGGGAGGTTGCTGGGAAAGCAGAGCCCCAGCTCCCTTGTCGCACCTACGTTCACCCAGATTCCCCAGCTCCTGGCAGCCACTGGATGAAAGAACCTGTCTCCTTCCAAAAACTGAAGCTCACCAACAACACTCTGGATCAACATGGACATGTAGGTTGTGCTGTGCTCTTTTGGAATTCATCGCAGAGGAATGTTGCGGGAAATAAGCGAGATTTGTGAGAGATTAGATCATGTGGAAATGAAAACATATCCAAGTACCCTTTCTTCCTCCCTCAGCCCAGCCCCTGTACCCTCTTAGGGAGGGGTTTAGTCTGAGTGTTGGCAGTGTTACCCCATAGAAACCTTGTCCTTTGTCTGTCCCTGTGCCAGATCATCCTGCACTCCATGCACCGTTACAAGCCGCGCTTCCACATTGTGCAGGCAGACGACCTCTTCAGTGTCCGCTGGAGCATCTTCCAGGTCTTCAGCTTCCCTGAGACTGTCTTCACTTCTGTCACTGCCTACCAGAACGAGCAGGTACAGTGTGCAAGCAAGCACTGCTTTTGGACATGGTGCTACGTAATGTCTTCAAACCTCTTGTAGAGGGAAGTGTCTCCTTCCAATCTGCTCACCCTGTGATGGACAGTGGGAGGAAATAGGCACATTGTGGTTCCCGTGGAAAACATCCTCTCTGTGATGAGTCATGCACCTTAAAGGCATTGAGTGTGCTGTCAGTGGCACACAGAACTCCAAAAGCAGTAAAAACTATGGGCAAAAGTCCAGATACAAACACTGACCCTTTATGTTTCTCTAGTCAGATGAATCCCACCCAAATCCCTGCTGACCCTGGCAAAGTCACTTCTCTGTGTGTGTCAGTTCCTGATCAATAATGGGATCTGCTGGGAGAGCTCAGATACTGTGGCAAGGGTGTGTCCAAAACCCTTAAAAACCTGTCAAGATAAATACTGAGGTGGACACCTTGAAACAGTGAAGAACCCAACCAGTCCCTGTGACACTGAATCTTTTTCCTTTTATTTTAAGATTACGAAGCTCAAGATTGACAACAATCCATTTGCTAAAGGTTTCCGTGAACATGGGAAGAACACTCGAAGGTAAACCGTTTTATCATCTAAATTTATTTATAACTGGAGTTCACTTGTGAATGTTACCCAAGGCCTTTGAGCAAAACTCTACCAGCCAGCCCTGCTGAGCCTGCTGCATTGTGCACACTGCATTTGCCTGTATCTGGGAATGATGTCCCCCTGTGCCGCCTCCTCCCAAGAGACTTGGGGAGTGGGAGGTGATAATTCCTACAGAAACGTAGGAGGTGTGAGAAATTTGAGACCTACATTCCCTCACAAGTTGGAGCTAGACTGGAGTCTGACATGTGAATAGGAGTGATAACAGGAGTCCACAGCAGATCATTTGGTCTCTTGGAGATCAGGTTGATTCTGACATTTGGAGGCTCCCTTGTCTTCTTTTCCTGTGGGTGGAAAAGCATCTCTTCCAACAGGAGACTTTGTCTGCAAGATGGATACCAATACCAGTGAGATGATCTGCCTGGTCTTAAGGCAGCCAATGGGTGAGATGAAAAAAAGCTTAAGTTGCAACCATAGACTGGGAAATAGAGAAGGAAAAAAATGGTTTTTTTCCAAGCAGAAAATGTTACAAAAATATCTGAGAATTTGTTTTGTGTTATTTCATGCCTGAAAAAAATCTCATTTCCTGATGAAAAAAGGCCAAAGCTGACTCTATTTTACTTAAACTTTAGAAATATCATGGAATTTCTCCTCCTAATAGCATCATTTCTGACTAAGCTTAAAATCATTTTCCGTTTAGGAAAGAGCTGCTTTTAAGTGACAGACCCACCCTGCTGTACACGTACCTGTGTGCTTAGTGTGTATCCCACATCAGGCTGCACTTACAAACTCAGTGCCAAAACCTCTGGTGCTGAGTTTCCAAGCTGATCATGCCTTTTATACAGACGTGAAGCAGGAGCCTCTTTCCTGATTTATCCCTTATCACAGGCACGGGCCTTTCCCTGGAAGCACACAGCAATGGCAGGCACATGGCTAACACTGGAATTTGGCCCCTGAGGGGCTGGTAGGAGAGGTGCACAGCACAGAATGTTAGAGATTCATCCCATCTTTTTGTCTTCCAGAGCTTGTCCAGCAGCCCCGCCCATTTCTGTAGGCAAAAAGCTTCCATCCAAGCTTACTCCTGTGTCTTGTTTCTTTCCAGGGAAGGACGAGCCAAATGCCAGAAGCCCAGTCCAGCCAAGAGCCAGAAGAGGAAGCTGCCTGAGGAAAAGGAGCCTGGTGCTGAGGAACGTGGTAATATTGGTCACAACAAACCCAGAGAATGCTATTCAAAAAGTTCTTTAAGCTTGATCATTCCTTGCTCCAGCTCACGGTGCTGCTTGCAGTAGCACAGCTAAGAACAGAGGACAGGGCAGGACTGACCCACCAGTATCTGGGCAGAAAAGAGCTGGAAAGGGTGTTCCCTTAGGACAGGTCTGCAGCAGAGGTGTTAGTGCATTTCTTTCCAGCATCCCATGCTTAACACAACTGCCAACAGACCATTGTGAACTCTGTCTCTCTCTTCCCCCTTCTCACTCTTTTCCATTCTTTCTTTTCCCTGCTGTGAGTCAGATTTTGAGAAGGATGAGAATGTAGATGTGAAGGAAGAGAGTAACCCCGTGGTGGTCAGCAGTGGATATCCCTTCTGGGGCTCGGAGCAGAGTGGCAGCCAGGCCTTCCCTGCGGCGTCGCCGGTGCCTGCGGAGCAGAGGGAGGGTCTGGCCAGGGAGCAGCAAGTGCCAACGCCGTCCTACCAGGCATATCGGTGAGTCCTACCTTCTGGTCCAAAGACACCCTTTAACTGATGGGATTCCTCTTCTTCTACTGGGTATTTGCTGAGAAAAAGAGCCACCTGGGAGTAGGGAAGGATGCCTTTCTGCTGAGCAGTATATGTGATTGAGAGATGTTAGGTTAGCACAGACGTAGCTCCACGGATAACCTTTCTGTGCTGCTTCAAACCCACTGATTCTGGGCATACTCATGTCTTAGTAATGCTCTTTATTTCCCTGTCCCAAAATGCTCTCCCAGCCAGCTTTGTGTGCTGCAGAGCTTCTCTGTCCTTTGGGGGAAGATTGTTGGTGGAGTGACAGGACTCCTGTGATTTTTCCCTTCTTACAGCAAAATTAGGCATGAGTGAGCCCAGACCTGAGCCAGAGCTAAGATGGTCTGGACTTACGTTCTCTGGCATTTTGTTTCTCTGTGGGCGTGACAGTGAGGTCTGGACAAAAATCCACACTTAAGAGTAAGACTGAAGGAGTAGGCAAGGGGGAGAGGGCATGCTGAGAGCTTGCCCTGCCTTTCCCTGGGGGATCTGTGTGGGTTTGCTGTGGTTTTCCGCTGCAGTGGGTTTGACTCGCTGATCTCTCTGCCCCACGGCTCAGGTTCCACGAAGCTGGGGACAGCCAGCACCTTCCCACCCGCGATGCCACGGCCTTGAACGATTTCCGGGCAAGGTGCCACGCCTTGGATCTCGCCACTGTGCCCGAGCACGACTCCAAACAGCTCCCAGAGGGCTTCACCAACCTGCCTCCGCTCCCCCCGCCTCTGCCTCCTCCCCAGGACTACACGGGGGTGGTGAACATGGCTCTAGACTCTGTTGGGAAGCCCGGGGCCCGAGCGCCCATGTACAGTCCCTATGGCACCGAGCAGGGCCTGGGGCAGTGGGTGGTGCCTCCCCACAGCCAGTACAGGGCAATGAGCTACTCGGCCTTCTCCACGGAGTACAACGCACAGGGCGCGCCGGGACATGCCCACGGGACCATGGCGGAGTGGAGCCAGTACCCTCTGTTCCCCTATGCCTGCTGGTGAGCGGGGAGGACCCTTCCCAGTGAAAAAACTGGGAGAAAACTGTAAATGAAATCAGATTGGCTCCGGGGTGTTGGACTTTTTGGAGCCTCGCCTACACTAGGCAGAGGATATTGCTGCAAGTGGCAGAATGGGACACCTTCACTTCCTTGTCTCCTTGCACAACAACCCTCACCGTGTTTCACAAACAGTGGCTAAACTGGTGGCTGCCCCAGCTGTGTCACTGTGGATCAGGCAGAATAAATGCCTTGCAGTATCTTTTTTCCCAGCAGAAGTAGGAAACCACAGGATCTCCAAGGGCAGTAGTTAAAGAGCTGCCGAACTTGCAAGTCACAGGCTGTTTGCACCTCGCATTTGGCAGCTTCCAAAATCCCTTCCTCCCGGGACTTGATGCAAGGAGATAGGGGCTAAGGAGTTTCAGTAAGCCATCCAGGTGGCACAGAAGCTGTAGACAATATTGCAAAGACAAGCGAAACAAGCAATCCCACTGACCTTTGAGCAGGTTCCTCAGTTAGTATAGTCAAACTAAAGCTAGAGTCTTGCCTTTCTTCCAGCAGCAGAGGAGAGCAAAATGCACAGCAAGGCATATCTGGAGCACAGCAGTGGGTCATGCAGGCAGGAAAGAGTTTGTTCTGTGCAGGAGAAGCAGCAGGAAGGCTGTGTGTTGTGTCTGCATGTCCCCGTGCCCATCCCTCCTCTGTCAGCCCTAGATTCGAGGTCAGTGAAATGCTCTTCTTTCTGCAGAGGTGGAGGGAGGTTGTTCCTGAAACGCGGGGAGCTGCTCTGGGGATTTTCAAGGTTGTCAGAGGTAGGGCCATGAACAGCAGTGCTGTTGATTAACTTCAGCATCTTTCTTTAGAGTGAAAGGAAATCTGCTGTGAACTTCTTCCTTCTCCCACACCCTGCCACCCCTGGAGAATATAATTTATAGTTGTGGTTCCTGTGCTACACTCTGAGTGTGTGAAGTTATCCCACCACTATTTGGGAGTCTATAGGTATCTGTCTCCGTGTTTAGTTATCAAAGTGGTTCCACCTTCATCCTCTCTGGTCCCAGCCTGCATGTGCCATGCAAGGAGGGTTTCCTTTCACCTTCCTGTTAGAAGGGGGAAGCCTCCCTGTTTGCCTAAGCGGCAAATGGCCCTGGCAATGGGGTCTTGAGTGAGACAGGCTCTTTGCTTCTCAGCAAAGGTAGACATGTTTCTAGGTGTTATTTAGGGAATGTTTTCTTGTCACACTAAGAGCTGCTCTGTGGCCTATAGCCATATATAAGCAGAGAGGTGTGTCATTTAGCCTGTGTGCCGGATGGTTTTCTCTGTGTGTGTAGCAAGATGTTGTCTATGAGCAGACCTGGGCAGGTTTGTGCCCAGTGCATCAGGACTGGTGTGCAGGTACACTGGGAAAGGCTGTGTGCTGATCTGTTGGGGTACCAGGTCAGCACTGTGCATCTGCATAGCATAGAGATGTTGAGCCATGTTTGTTATTGTTAAAATTACTTTGAAAAGTAACCCTGTAAATTTGTGGACTCAACTACAATGACTTCTTCTTTATTTAAATTGTATATTTCTAACTGTGTTTGTACTGCAAACTGTGTTATGATACATGCAGAGCAGCCAAGTACTTCCCCTGGGCTTCCCAGGCTTTGAGGATGTGCAGCGCTGAAATAAAGGTCAGACTTCACCACAGTACATGAACATAATGCCCTGTGAGCCTCTCCTCTGATGGCATCCTGGCCAGCAGTGATTTGTACCTGCTGTGCGTGACATGCAAGTGGACGTGAGCAACTCACTAAAAAGAAATCGGGTTGGAGAAGGAACTGTGGAGGAGGTTGTTTTCAGCCCAGAATACTGTGATTTCCCGCTGTCCAAATGCCAGCTGCGTGAAGGCAGGTCAGCTGTGAAAGGCTGACCTCTGTGGAGGAGAGAAATAGTCTGTCTCTGACCATTAGTAGCTGATTTTGCCAGCACTGTTTTTCACATTTTGGAAGTGTGATGAGCAGAATGGCTGGGGAGTTGAGTGGGTGCCTTGAACCTCATGTGCAGGGATCCTGGGGTACTTTGTGCATGACAGTCCTCCTGGCACCCACTGGGATCGCTGCCAGGGCCATGCCAAGAAAAGAGAAAGAATACATATCCCCATGGGCTGCTGGTTAGATCTGTTCCTTTATCTTTGTAGCTGGGATGTGTTTCCCTGTCACGGGCTGTGAACGAGGATGAAAAACATGCCGTGGTGAGTGTGAGTAGCTGAGGAGAACTGGGCAGCACTGGGAAACTCCTGTGCAAATACAAGTGAAATGTTCTTCCTTTCAAACCTTCAGAGCAGCACTGCAGGTGCTGCTGCCCCATGGGCCTGTCGGTAGAGCTGGTGTTTGGCAGACAGCTCTGCACTGGGGTAGAAGACTCAGCCTTGTGCCTAGGACGAGCCATTAATTACTCATCAGCCTTCTGTTGCAGCAGGACCACTTGCCCTTCTTCAGTGAATCATCCAGTTTATTAGAAAAGTACCTTTACTTTCTCGCTCTCCTGTCTCTGGCGAGAGACTGCGGCTCTGGCTGGTTTGTGAAGCCTTTGGAGATTTTGCCTGTAGGTGTGTGCTCTGGACTCTGCTCCCACCTCCTCCCTCTGCAGTTCCCACTGTCTTGTTTTCTTCAGCTGTGGCATTTAAAAGTCTGTATGAGCTCCACTGAAACGCTGTTTTTGCACGCATGTGACATAATGTAATGCCTCTGACAGCTTCAATAAAGGGAAATGAGACATGTGGAAGGCAGGCCATTACGAGTAATAAAATAAACTCAGAAGTGCGGGTTTATGCATCTCTCTCAAGCACACCAGTGGCTCTGCTTTAGTCATGTTACCTGGGGCCAGTTTATACATGCATGACACATACTGTTGATCTCAGGGTTCATTGTTCTCTGCAGCGTGTTCAGTGAGCCTCAGGTTATCTGCTCACACTGCTAGATGTGACTCAGGCTCTTGCACCAATTCTTTGCAGCAAATTGTTTATTTTCTCTGTATTTTCTGCTCCTCTCCCACAGAGGAATTACATAAGGACGAGGGCAAATGGACTATAAATGGGATCTAGGTAAATTTCCTATGGGAAATAAAGATCTTAATTTATTTTGGTTTCTCCTACTGGTTTTTGCAGCCTTAAGCCTTGCCTGACACTGCTTCAATGCAGATGGGAATGGCAGAAAAGCGCTTTATTGCCAAAACTTCTGCAGTTCTTCCACAGGCAGCTGCAGGCTCGGAAGAGGCACCTGTTTGCCTGCAGCTCAGCAAAGTGCCCCACGCCTCTCTAGAGATATGGAGAGTCCTCCCAGGGGTGCAAGGTCCCCTCTCAGCTGACCGAGAACCTGGCCTCTGCTTGTGCCCTCTCTGGCTCTGCAAAAGCAGCCACCAGCTGGTTTCACTAAGAGCTTATCTCGTTTCCAGGTGCTGCAGGGACAGAGATGTGCTCAGCTGGTGCAAACCAAACTGTCTGGTGCCCTCGGCTGAGCCTCCTGGCCCAGCCGAGCCCGAGGCAGGGCTGCTCTTTGGCACCTTCCGTGGCACCTGGTGTGGTACGGGTCTGCCTCCCCAGGGGGCTCCTGCGTGCCTTGCCCTGGTCAGCGCATGTACTGGGTCACTTCAAGCAAATCCAAGCAAGCGGCGCAAACCCCCTTCCAGGAATGACAACATTCTTCAAGTCAAATGGGTTTTTATTGCGGAGCTTAAAAGGCGCTTAATTCCCGAGCCGCAGGTCGGGATCCGTGGGGAGCCTCGTAGCAGAGGGGACGCAGCATTTGGCCGGCAGCAGCGAGCAGCAGCCGCCACCCGCCGTGCGGGGCCGGACCGGCACAGAGACACATCCCCCTGCCCGCAGCTGCCCGCGGTGCCCGCCCCTCCTCCTCTCATCAGCGGCCAAATGTGCCGCGCAGGTGTCTCCACGTCCCTGCTCACCCGCCCGCAGCCTGCAGGTACTCAGTGAACAGCAAAGAGGGAGGGGTAAAACTGTGCGGGGCCGGCTGGGGAAGGGAGGACAAAGAGTTTTCCCAGGAGCACGGGGAGGGGTGATCTGCCCTGTCCCCCTCAGCTGCCCTGGGCGCTGCCGGCTGGGCTCCAGCCGCGCTCAGAGGCGCGACCTTGCTGCGTTTTTGCTGTGGCTGCAGGGGAGCCTGTCCCTGCTTGTCTCCGGGGCTCGGCTTCCCCTCCTGGGCTATGGGAAGCAGCCGCTGGCCTGGCTCCAGGCCGCTCCAGGTGAGCTGCTTTCGCTGTCGTGCCTTGCAGAGCTGTAGTGAGGTTTAAGTGTGGCTTCTGATCATTACAGCAAATCTGAGCAGGAGGAACGCCGGGAGAGGTAACGCAGCTCGCAGGACACAGCGAAGGAAGTTGGGAAGGTGTTTCTCCCAGCAGCACTCGATATGTACTTCCCAGAACAAGCACTGAAGGGTTCTTGAGACCTGGGCCTGAGCAGCAGTGTCAGGCGAAATTTTAACCAAGGGTGAAGCAATCCTTCAGTGCAGGGGTGATAAGAGGTGCTGCAGCTGTGCTGAGCAGTGTTGCTGCCCAGCTTAGTTTAGTGTTATTCCTTTTTTGTTTTTCCAAGTTGTGTGAGTTTGTTTTATGGCCTGAAGTAGTTTGCTGCGAGGTGCTGGATTGCCTCTGACACTTCTCTAATACTCCATTTTTTTCCTTTGAACGTGCAGGTGTACAACTACAGTGTTCCTGCCCAGACAGCACCCTGCTCGGTGAGTGTAATGGATGGATTTAATTTCCATCTCTTACAGTTCTTTGGAGACATGCTGAGATTTTTATTTCTTCCTCTTCTATTTTTACTGAAGAGGGTGAATTATGTGCCCCCATAAAGGAGAGTGGGAGTGGGCAGCCAGCAATACAGGACAGGCACTCCATCAGTCACACAGCCAGGCATGAAGCACTGCTCACTTTTGGTATCTGTACAAATAAGGCTACATGTAAAACAGCAGCTGTTCACAGGAGAGACTTCCTGCATGCTGGCACTGGCACTCCAGCTCCCATCTGTGGGGTCACAAAGCACTGGCACCTGGGATATCCGTAACATCCTCGCTGGGAGTTGATGCGTTAAGGGTAGATCTGCGTGGAAGTGCTGGAGCAGAGAAGATAGGGATGAGTCAGGCCTGATTCCTGTCACATAGCGGGGTCTGTCCCCATGCTGGCTCTGTTCCTGCTGAGCAGCCAGTCCTCTGCTCGCCCACAATCTGGTTTGGGTGCTGCTTTTCCATCTAGGAAGGACTCCGTGGAGACAGCTCTAAGGAGCAGCTGGGGCACTGCCCAGCAGCAGTAGGGTGAAGGGGGGAATGGGAATTGCTGTGGTAAGTTTAAGTCAGCCCTCATGCATCCTTGGGGTACCCCTGGTTATTGTTCTCCCAGGATAAAAGCAGTGAACCATGGAACAGTGGAGGGGACTGTGATCAAAACTGCTCCGTTTGCCAAAGGGATGTGCTGAGCCTTGCACTGACGTGGGCTGAATGACACTAATGCACTCCCTGTAGAGCCCCTGGGGGCACAAGGGCATTTTGAAAACCATGGATGAGAAAGTGAGGCCAGGACCGGGTGGTTTTCTGCTCAGCAGGCCGGGCCTGGCGGTCCGTGTGGAGCCATTGGAGTCATGCTGCATGTTTCTCATCCTGCCCGTATGGCTGTTAATGGCCCTGTCCTGCCTCCATCCTCAGGGACTAATTGCCTCACACTTGAGCAAATGTGCTGGGTGTTTGAAAGGAGTCTATCGATTTGTGCGTATTCCTGAAAGGCTCAGAGGGCCTTGTTCCCTTTGAAGTGTAAAAGCATCTGTCTGCCTCTGCTTCTCCAGCAGTCTCCCGCTCCATTTGCATCTCTGCTCGGCTTGTGGGGCCGCCCAGGAATCCATCCCTGGCCCCATGCCGCGCTCTGGTTTCGGCTGCTGAGAGGGTTCCCTGCCACGGGGAGATGGGACTTGGAGACAAAGGTGCAAAGCTTCAGTCTTGGGAGGGGATTAAGCCCGGCTTGCAGCTGGGTGTGCTCAGGATGGAGCTGTTCCTGGAGGCCAGTTTCCAGGACTCCAGACTGGGAGTGCTCTCCTTGCGCATTTATCTGTGGTGGGTGTGTTGATTAGGAAGGGGAGGAATTAGCTCCTGGCTTCTTCCCACCGTGGTACTTCCCATGCCAGACAGCACTGGTTGGTAAGGAAGTAAGGTCAGACCTGGGCTGCTTTGGGTAATCCACCATCCGGGAGGTGAACTGTGCAGGAGTGACCAGAACCAGAGATGGTTCTCTGATGAGCATTTGAACAAATACTATTGAAATGCAGCCAAGTCCCTGTTCTGTGTGTGGACAATTTGCCCTGTGATTCTCCCCATCCCACCTCCATGGACAATAGGACTGGCCCTGGATGGGTTGCTTGTCCTCAGTGGGGCATTTTCATGTAGACACAACCGTAACGGAGGTGACTGTATTTCTGGAGCCAGGACTAACAGCTCTGTCACTCCTTGGTTATCCCTGGGATGGTGGTGAGAGGACAGTACAGATAACTCCAGCCTGGAATTGCAGGGGCTGCCTGTAGCCACTGCCATCCAGCACTTCACAGATGGTGCGCTGGGTTTCCTATTTCAAGGGGGCCTCAGCAGAGCAGCCGTGGCACCTCACTGCTGGAGGCAGTAAATGGGCTCCCATCTGGTTTTAATGATCAGTAGCACTTCAGTGCTTGTTTATTCCCATGTTTTATGCTTGAGCAATAAAATACTGCTTCAGTTTGTTCAATCCATCCTGGTGCTGGTTGGAGATGAGTTCACAGCCTCTGACAAAGAGGTCCCAGCAGTACACAGGATGCTGGGTTTTTTTTTCAGACAGCTGGGCAGAATCAAATGATGTAGTGGCTTTTAAAATGCAAACACCAGTGGACAGTATAGAAGGCAGGGCACACAGTTCATCGTGTGCCTAGCAAACAAATCTTGTCCTTGGATTAAAGCTGGAACTGTCTGTCCTCTGTGGGGCAACACAGATGTGAAGTTAGTCCCAACTTTAAAACAGGTGCTTGAGGAAATTCTAGTTCCAAAGTGCTGCCCATGGAGATCACTGAGCTGCAGCTGCAGCGTTGTGCTTTAGCCCTCCCGTCACAACACTGAAATGGTGCTGGAGGTGTCAGAAGCACTGGCAGGGCCCCATCTCACCATGGGCACACACCAGCCCTGTGGCAGGTTACCAGACAGCACTGCCATGCTCGGGGCAGCTACAGCAGGACTGGGAGTTGTACAAAATTCTCTGGGGTCAATACAGTCTAATAGTAATTTAATCTGAGGGTGAAACTGTTTGTAAGGGGCTATGGGGCTTTCTGATGTTACTCCTTCTCCCCAGCACACTCGTGTTACCTGCCCAGCATGTTGGGAGTGGAGAGCCCTGTCTGCCGGCAGCTCTTGTGCTCCAGAGGGATCACCTTCCAAAGGGACGGGCAGTAACACTTGGCAGTCTCTGGCAGTTGGTATCTGGGGATCCTGAATCGTTTCTGCAAACACAAGTTAAGCTTTTCGGCACGTCTTAACGTGGAGGGTAAGTGGGGCACCAAGGTAAAGAGATTAAAGACAGTAAACCACAGGGAGAGAAATGGGCTCCTTGTCTCCCTTCTGACTTTAATGGGGACCTGGAAACCTTTTGCTTTCCCTTCTAACACTTGTCTTCTATCCTAATGGTGGAGCAACAGTCTCCTCCACTTTATTTCCCAACAGTATGGTCCTTGGAGGATCTTTAGCTCCTATCTCTAAAGAGTATTGGTTTTCAGCAGAGACCCTTTTTCCCAACTGTTTGTCAAGGCTTGGAGCTGTAGGTGGCAACTAAAGAGAGAAGGATTTTAACAAACTAATTAACCCCCCTCCAAGTTATTCAGGGTCCATTCACTTGGTGCCACTGATGTTGCATTTGTGCTAATTTCCCCTGGAAGGGTCTAATATAGAGGGAGCGATTAAAGGAAGCTTTTCTCGGGCTGCTTTCAGGCAGCAGGAAGAGGGAAGGTGGCAGCCGCTGCTCCCTTGGTTATTGCTGTCTCCAGGGTTGTCCACCTGGCCCTGCTGGAGCCAGGGCCCA